GCTGGAGCTAAACTCTGCAGGACACCGGCCCTCCAGGACCCAGTTTGGACAGCCCTGCTGTAAAGCATTATATATGAAATAGCAGTCAGTAAACTAGTCAGAAATATTTATTATATATAGTATAGCTCATATAGTATGATATAGTGAAAATATGGAGCTCATACTTAAGGAGAAAAAGCACCTCATTTTTATTTAGAGGCCCAAACTGAGCAAAATTATGCAATTTAACTGCTACTTGCATAAAATGATATAAATATCAGTCATCACTCTATAGCTCCAATTTACAAGTTTTTGTAAGATTATATTTAAATACTTAGTTTTAATATCAGAGCTCTGTAGTTTAAAACACATAATGCAATGCAATACAATAATGACTGAGAGATGAACCAATAAACAAATGAGATACATTTTCATATGATTTGTCAAAAAATGGATGCATGGGTAATCAAGAAATGTTGCTTCAGTCTTATGTTTACTGTACAAAAATCAGTAAAGATTTCACAACAAAAAGACAGGTGACGCATGAGCTGAATGTGGACATTTGTAAAATTATGCTAAAAGACCTTTTGCTTGCTAAAGAACGCTCAATTAGGTGACAGAAGGCATGTAGTAGATTGTGTGCAAAAGGTTTTTCAAGTTTTGGTCATGTTAGAAATTCAGAGGCCTGCAGGTTTTGTACACACTCACACACTGTGTAACCGGGATTTCATTGCACCACCTGCTGGCCTTTGGTGTCTCTTCACGCGACCTCTGCTCCCAGCGCAGGTGTATGTTATCAGGCAAAGGGTAAGGGTAATGCCCAGTTCAGACTACACGATTTTGCCATGATTTGCTTGATGTAGGGTGTCGTGGGGATTCGTAAACGACAATGGGCGTCGGGAAGCAAGATTCCATCGTTTCAGCTCGTGTAGTGTGTCATAGTGGACGACCACCGATTCCGCGTCTGCGATGCTTCACGACATCACGACAGAAAGACTAGCATGTTTAATTTTTTTCCCGTCGTCCACGACGAGTTCTGTCACATTGGTGACATTGACCAATAGCAGCACAGAAGCTCTTTCATACACAGGTTTCAAACATGCAAAACGAAAGAGAGATGATGGTGTTGCTAGGTGTAATTATGAGATGGAGGAAAGGTTCGTGGAGCTGTGGCAACAGTACTGCCTGTATGATGTGTCTTCGAGGGACTACCACGACAGAACAAAGAAAGAAAAATGCTGGTGAACTATAGCGGAAGCGCTTCAGCAATGTTTACACTCTTGTTTTCGGAAGTCAGTCGCTAGTTCCGCCTTCTCGATGAATGGTCGGGAAGCAATGTGTAGTCTGACATGTTTCTTGTCCACGACACGACCAGATTTTAGGAGTCAAAATCGTGTAATCTGACACAGTGACTATTGTGACCGACAAAAATATTGTGTGTGCATTACTTAGTAACGTGTTACTGTAATTTGATTACTATTTTAGTAACGGAGTAATTTAATGCGTTATAATTTTCAAAATAGTAATTAGAGTATAGTTACAAGCCGAGGTCTCTATACGTTACTGCCGCGTTACATTGCTGACAGAATGCAGTGTTTTATAATCTAGAGATTGTAAAAAGGATGTAGCTAGAGACCTGCTCCCGCGAGACCTGACGCAACAGAGCGCTCCAGGCAGGATATTTTAGGACGTGATCTGCAGAAAAACCCCCAACACTGATGAGACAGGCCAAATAAGCCAGCTTCATTACTCAAATCTAATTGTGATGTGAAAAGTGGTCTCTATATGACAGGTGCTGACGTCAGTCACAAAGCAACATTACATTACATTTTGCTGAAAGATTTGGAAGAGAAACTTTTTTTTTTCGTTAGAATAATGTGCACTGATGAGTCTTGCATGATAAGAGCAGGAAGATATGTTTTAAGAAAGTCAGCGATGTCCGAGCTCTTTCTTGTGGTCCTCTATATTCTCTGGTGGAGTCTGATCTTCATATTCCTGCCAAGGGCATTGCTCAGGGACTGTTTGTTCCAGTCGTGTAGAGACACATCAGACGGCTGGATTCGGAGGAGGCCACTGAACGAGCGTGTCTTAGTCATTGAGCAGAGACAACAGTGCAGCAGGAAGTAGCTCCATGCTCCGGCACAAATGAGCCTTTTTCATCTGTGTTTACTCGAGTCTCAGCACTCAGCTGCAAACGGAAGTGGAATTCTATGCAAATGCTGTAGTAGATAATAAAATGTTGCTTCACTCTTCCTCTGTAGTCTGCCCTGCTTGCTTCCCTGTCTGGATTTTTTTACTACTTGAGCTCTTGTAAATCCAGCGAGACTTTTGCATTTCCTGATGTAAATGTGAGTGTTATTAGTCTATGCAAAGCACTATGGTGCTGGGTGTTGTGGGCTGTTGTCATGACATTCATGTAGCCTATGTTTATTATGGTGTTGTGGGTGATGGCTTGGGTGTTGCTATGGGCCCAAGTCAAAAACCCCATCCTCAAGTGTCTGTGATATTCCAGTTACTAGATATGACCCAGGTCCCTCCTTCAGTGTAAGTCAAAGAGATTTTTATTATTGTCTTTTTTATAATGTTAAACTGAAGAAAACAATATTGGACTCCACTGCGCATACAGCAATTTGTTTCTGTCTGAAATATACTTATGTCAACTATATCTTGTAAAGAGCACTGAACTAAAAAAAAAAAAAACTAAACTAAAACCTATTGAAAATATATTGATAAATATATTTTAAAATATATATTAGCAATATACAGTATACTCAAGGTTCTTTATTGGAACTGATTGTTCCGTGAAGAACCTTTAACATCTATGGAAATGTTCCGTTCTACAAAAGGTTCTTTTAGTGGAAATATTTATAATTTTTTTATTATTTATTTATTTATTTATTGCCATGAGGGAGAACTGTTCTCTGAAATGGTTCTTTTATGGCATTGCTGTGGAAAAAAAAAAAAAATTTTTGGTCCTTTATTATTAAGAGTGCACCATTTGGAATTTGGAACTTAAACTAGACAAAATTAGACATTTTTCAAAATATTTTCTTTTATGTTCCACTGAAGAAAGAAAAGCCATACATGTTTGGAACAACACGAGTACATAAAATTGTAATTTCTCAAAGATTTGTTCAAAGAGCTATCTGCTATTGTGTTTTAATGAACACCATGCAGAGCGTGGTTGAAGACTTGCAGCTACAGTAGATTACCGCATGCCATCATATCCCACTCTGAGCCAAAAACGCTCCATGTGAACTCTAGAGATAAAGAGTGAGAGCAGAGACACTCAGCAGGCCTCAGAAATGACCTCCATCTTATCAAGAATTAGCACTAAAAGAGAGAGAGAGAGTGAGGGCATGAAGCACTGCTTGTTATGGACTTTCTCTGTCTGCAAACATGTCTGTTCTTTAGATACAAAAGATCAAGGTGACAGTCAGTTGAGATTAACAGCATTGATTAACAAAGAGATACATATTAGCTCTGATCCAAAACATGACTGCTGATCCAAACAGTAGATTATGCTGCACGTCTAAAATGCCTTGTTTTCAATTTTCAATTCAAAAAGGCAATCCTAAAAATGCTTTGCACTGGGCTCAATTAAGTTTAAAACCCCCCTGCCTTAGAGGACAGAAAAGTGTCTCAAGGGGTTGCTATTGTAAAATGCCTCGACAGGAAAGGTAAGTTATAAAAAGCATTTAGTGCACCAACGAGTTTGTGCAAATTACAAAATACATAGTC